GATATAGGGTTTAGGATTTTGGGGTTTCTGGGGTTCCAGGTTTTGGATCTGCAGGGTTGACTTTCCAAGGCTTATAGGATTTAGGGCCTAGGGATTCGGGTTGTGGGGGTCTTACTTGCACCCCGTAACCCAGAAGACTGAAGGGGTTACGCACGGGGTTCATTCGAAGAAATCCGAAAAAACTGTTACCCTAAACCCTAAAGCCTCAGGGCGTGAGATTTGGGCTTCATCAGTCTCTAGGGTTGTGGGAATAAGAGGAGAGCTTCGCATAGTTTTAAGGCACTACTGGTTCCTTTAGATAGTTTTTCCCGTAGGTATATTCCAGCGCGCTGCGTTTATATGGGGTTGTGGTTTCTGGGTTGAGCTGCTCGGGCAAGACCCTCCTTGCTGCGCGCTTCCTCCCCAGCCGTAAACAAAGCCGCGCGAAAGGCCAGAAGCCTCATGGAGACTTCTTTAAGGGTCCTATGGTCCTATGTACTGTTAATTATGGGAGATACTTCCCCAAGCCATCATAGTATTTCCGAATATAGATTCCGTACATGCTCTGTTAACGTACATAGGACCCTTTGGGCGTATTCGCAGCCAGGCACTCCAGGCCTACATCCCTGCACTCCCCACACCCCGAGCCTAGAATAAAGGTGAGTTATGATCGCGAATCGCTACATTAATGTGGGTGAATATCAGACCTAAAGATAAATCCCAGAGAGCGCAATGCCCCTTAAATAAGGCATATCTATCTTGATTTAGAAGTGTTGGCTCAGACTCTCTGGGATCTGTCTCCCTCAACCCTGAACGGCCCTGAACCCTAAATCCAATCTGTCTACTCACTGCAGCCGAGGTTGGCATCCGCGAGTATCAAGACTTCTCGTACTTCGTGGCCCCACTCGGAGAGGCTCCCACCTCCTCCACCGGCATCTAGACCTTGAACAGCTCTTAAACGTACGCCCTAGCCCCGCCCAGACAGCCCAACACCCCTGAGCGAAGGACTACCTATGACCCATGATATAACTTGAGGAAAATGACCTTGGTTGAGGAGTGCTAACTGCTTGGTATAGAGTTTACGGTCGAGGATTACGGGTTTAGACGGCTTAAGCTTTTTAGGGCTTATCAGAGCTTTGGGCCAAGGTTTAGGGCTGGGAGAGAAGACTCCGACTACTGCTAGCTTGTTGTCGTGATCTCTGGAATCTGGAAGGTGATTTCCTGAAGCTGTCGGTTCCTTTGTAAATGTTGATCCTGCGATGTGGGGGTTTAGGGCTTGGAAGGTTTAGGGTCTATGCCGGGATGTAGAGTGTAGAGCTTACAGACGCTTGCAGGGGTTAAGGGGCTCTTTGGGGTGCCACTTCTTCTGAAACTCATGCGACAGAGGCGAGGAGATACACCCTCTTGCTCTGCAGACTGCATTCAGCCTGCTCCCCAAGAGCCCTAATGTGAATCTATGATACATGACCCTTGGACCCTAAACCCCAAACCCTAAACTCTAAAGGCCCGAAAACCATGAAGCTATTCAGCAGGAAGTTTGGTATCCCCAAGCCCCCTTCTTTCAAGATCTGGGCACAGTGGACAAGTTAAAAGTAGGGTCATATGGGTAGGTCTTTGAAGTATGCTCCCTTCATGCCGTACTATTCTGGGAGCCTCAAAACGGACTTTAGTTTACAGAAACTGCCTCTCTCTCTATATCTATATCTATATC